ATCCAGGTCAAACTTTCTGGCAACAAAGTTCACTGTTTATGACAGCGAGCCTCCTTATGAAGCTGCAGTTTCTTCAAGCAATCGTTCAAATCGAAGGATTCATTCTAGGCAAGTGTCCCCGAGAGTACCGGCTGGCAATTACAACATTGCTACCATCTCCTATGAGCTGAACATCTTGCGAACCCGAGGGCCACGAAGAATGCAGTGCATGATGCACTCGATTCCCATCTCCTCCGTCCAAGAAGGTGGGAGTGTCCCTGCACCCAGCAGTTTCATTCACTCCGTCGATCAACGGCTCTCCATTTTACCAGTTGTGAAGGGCAAGGAGCCGGTGATAGGTTTTTCTTCCACCAGTCTCAATGAATCAAATGCACCTGTCCAGATCAATGGAGAACCTCTCATTCTAAAGAATAAAGCCCCTCGGTGGCATGAGCAGCTTCAGTGCTGGTGCTTGAACTTTAGAGGACGAGTAACAGTGGCTTCTGTGAAGAACTTTCAGCTTGTGGCAGCTGCAGATCCTTCCTGTCATGTTTCTCCAGCAGAGCAAGAAAAAGTTATTCTTCAGTTTGGTAAAATAGGAAAGGATATTTTCACTATGGATTATCAATATCCACTCTCTGCATTTCAGGCATTTGCAATTTGCTTGACGAGTTTTGACACTAAGCCAGCATGTGAATGAACCATTGAAGGTACAGAGCTTCTTTATTTGTTTTCTTCTACATATTTAATTCCTTCATTGACATTATATTCTTCATCTAAGTGACTTCGGTGGCAGACTTCTGTCAAGTTCGAGATCTTGGAGGAGGAAGTGGTTGTCTTTACTAAATGTTACTCATCTCACACAATGCTTGTAAGATGTTTTATGCTTTCCCATATCAACCACCTTGTCTCGTGACTAATTCTGTCCTCTTTTGGCTGATCAAGGAAGTTGATTCATAAATTTTATATATAGTGTGCCTGCCTCATGTATACATAATCGTATTGACGGAAAAAATGATTCTTATATGTTTAATGGTGAAGTAATTAAAGTTGCCATCAAAGTTCATGTATGATCATTTACCAATTCCTTCATGGTATATTCTGGAACATGTGAACACTTAGTCTATAGATGCCATCTTAGTTGGTCATAATCCTCGTCAAAGGTATACGAAGTCATATTAATGAGAATTTTCATATTTCTCCTGATATCCCTCGAATGATAACAGAAAACTCCTTTGGTGTATCTTGTCAAAGCTTGGATTGATTTCGTCTGGTCCTCGTACTTAATAGGCTTAGTTGGTTTGCTGGATAAAATCAAGTGAACTGCGATCTTCTTGAGCCCTTATAACATCATGAGTTATTGGTGGTTTGCACATTGCTACTAGCACTTGTCTGTGACCAGTGGAACTTCATTACCTGCCTGCTGTGATCTCTCCCTTAGAGTTTCATACTTAACATTGTCACTTTCTTCACCTGTCTGCTTATCACTCTTGTTTACTTTCTGAAAGCCTGCATTTTTCAATATCTAGTATCCGATGTACATGGATGGATGCAAGGCATGGTCTGTACCTGCATGTTGTGAGTACCAAGTATGTAGCTTATGGGTCCAATTGATCGGAACCTCAAAACTCTCGAAACATGTGGAATATCGGACATCAGCTTTGCATGAGCTTTTCCTCTTAAACCATTCATATGTTCCTCCTGCTTATCAACTGTCGCTTGTCCCAGGGTTTGATTACGATATATTCAGTATTATATTATTGCGAACTCCTCGTTTGAATTATATGAAGGTTTTGTTTGTTGGTGCGCTTCTGGATCTTCTTTCACATTGGCTCTAGCTTTTGCTTCTGAATCTTGGCTGCTAGGATTCATCAAGCCTGTTATGGTTGTTCTTCTTCCAGCATTTGTTGTAGTTGAGGTATTTGACCATTTGTCTGTGATGCTGAGGATGAAAACCAAGGATGGGGCCTGATGAGTGTACTATATTAATTCCTGCTTAAGTATTTTGATCCGTGGTTGAAGAATCAAAATAGAGTTATTGGTTAGTTAGCTCATCAGAGCCGACCTAGCATTTGGATAGGGATCTCCATATCAGATTCTTTTATGTCATCCATCAATTAATCCAATCATTTTTCGCATGAGTGCTCATTTGTTTCTCCGAAATGGTCACACAGTACTGTTGCCCATCTTATATAGTAGTGCTAATTGTTGTTCTACCATGACAATTCAATGATATCACTTTGTTACATCCTTAGTAGAGACTGCCTAAGATGCAACACCCAAGCAATACTCAATTGAAAGCCAAGACCTTAACTTGATATGATCCATAAATGACCTGCATAAAAAAAAAAAAAGATTAGAAAGGTGAACGTGCGGATAATATGTCATCATCACATACGAAAATGACAAAATAACAAGGATTGTAAGCAACTAGTATTTATTAGGCACAAAAAACTCTTGAAAACAAATATAACATATTAGGCACAAAAAACTCTTGAAAACAAACTTAACAAGCACACACAAAGAAAGTTTCTAACGCAGATGCAACCTAATAAATACTATCGACCCTTTTGTCAACCAAACACAATATTGGTACACTTATGTCAACCAATATTCACCTAACACTTTTGTCAACTAAAAAATTGGTACACTAAAAACGTTGTATCATCTTTTAGACACAACCAAGCCCTATCGACCCTGATGCCACCAAGGGTTCTAAAGTGTTAAAATAGCTGACATTTTGCACTGCAACACCGTCGACCCCCCGTGACACATAAGAAGGGAGCTGTTTGGGCTTCCTTCACCTTCGTGCAATGTTGCATAATCTAAAATATTTGAGTTTTACATGACAGAAATATAAAATAAAAACATTGACAACCAACAAAAATAGAGTTGACTATAGTAAATTCTTCCTAGTACATGATGCCTAACTAAAATCACTCGAAAACCCTCAGAAACCGACAAAAGAAAAAAAAAAAGGGTCATAAACCTGCATTGAACACCTTAACAAGGTTACTCCATGACACTTGGCCTAACTACCAACAAGCTTATATGATTCGTGTAAACCCCAAAAAGAAATCTAGCACCTCTATTCATCAAGATGATGATCCGGCCATTTATTCATGTATCAAATGTTTACTACGATCACAATCTATCAACTCCAAGAATACCAAAAAAAGGCTTGCTACCCATTGGCATTCACGCATCCGCATAACAGATGAAGAAATGCATGATCTACAGCTTGTACAAAATGAAACGCCTGTAAATATATAGATATAGTGAAAACAGCTGTTCTTCCTAAGATAATCTCATCTCGGGCCACATTAATATCTATCGTGACTTGCCACCCCTCCTCCTCGTTGAAGACTTCCGACGAGGCATCGATTGAGCTACCATGAGTGCAGCCCTGATGGGCTTGACATGCAAAGCCCTGTTATTGCATGTGATCATATATCCTCTTTGCATCTTCCAACAGCCCGCCTGCCAGAAGACAAGTTTTCCTCTACTCCAACATTCTAAGAGACATGCAAGCCTTCTCCTGACATGTCCTTGAGTACATGTCGCAGAGGCTAACATGAATCTCAAATGGCCCTTCACCCTTCTTTGTTAATTTGCTAAACAGGCCTTCTGCCGCATTCACTAGCTGTCATCTGCCCAACCAGTCAACCATAATACTGTATGTTGCTATCCCTGGTTGGAAACCATCCTTCTCAAGAGTTCGCAGCAGGTCCAAGGCCTTGTCCAAGAGGTTCTTCTTCACATAGCCCGTAATCATGCTGGCAGTGCATCTGTCATCTGGCTTGTGGCCAGATTTAATCATGTGATCAAAGAGGCACCGTGCCTGGTCAGGATCACCTGCCTGTCCATAGGCCTCCACAAGCATGGTAAACAACTCCAAGGTTGGCTGGACTCCTGCAAACTGCATGGTGTCCATAAGTCTCTGTGCTCCATCAACTTGGCCATGCTCCATGAATGCTTTCGAGGGCTCCATGTATATCTCTTTCGTGGATTTCATGTCTCTCGACTCCATTTCCCTCACCAGTGCCTCCCCTTGCTTTGGGAGGCCAGCCTTCACATAAGCTGCAATCATTGATCTGTAAGCCTTCCTTCCTCGCCTTGCTATAGGTATGAACTAATACAAGGGAAGTGAGAATATCTGGCACGATGCCGCTTTCAGTCATCTTCTGTAGAATTCTCTCAGCATCTTTAAAGTAATCTACCTTACCATGTGCATCAATTAGCTTTGAGTAATCACGAATACCTGTCTCAAAAGATTCCATAGTCAAGAGGAGTTCAGTGACCTGCAAATGTCAGGCAAATTGCAAGATGCATATCAGTAATCGAATCTCAGCTCAGTAAAGGCTTCTACATTTGCAAAATGGGATGCGAAGCATGCAAATTGGCATAGAACACACTCAAAAAATTAAGAATGGAAGCATACTTCAAATTCAATTTTGTTGGATCTTAATTTCGATGACAATACAACTTGATTATTCACCAATAAAGTCTGACATTTAAATTGAAATATTCAAACTATAAGATCCCGCTGCCTCAACTCATATGTACAGGATCTAGATTGATGAATGAAGGTCACTGCAGATATACAAAACGCAAACAAAGAAGGAAAACTGTCTGCAGAGAATAGATGTATTCACCTAATCATATAAATCATCTTATGCATCTGCATTTTACAATATAGATTTCACTTTTCTTTCTTCTTCTCCAAACATCAATCCATGCAAGATAGACAAATATCTCTGCAACTTTTATTGGTTACATCATCAAAGTGCTCCTCTATTCCAGTCACATCATAAATTTAATGGGAAATCAGTGCTCGAGTAGGATACTTCAACGTCCAGCTGAATGTTTTTGCCACATTGTGCTCCATTCTTTAACCGATGATCTGAATTACTAGAACCTTCAGATCTTCCAAGTATCATTCACGACCTCTTTATCAAAGTTAGCTAATACTTTAATTGATGCACCATAGTCTACCGATGGACAGTCTGCAAAGATGATATCTGCTATGGACCAATCGACTAGTATCTTAGGGTTCCGGAAGTGGAAGGTGCTAAGAAAGAAAATAATAAAGACGAATTGGAGAGGGATAATGCTACATAAACATAGATTAAGTTAAATATATGGGATAAAGCCTTATAAAAGACATTCATGAAAACAATTTATTCCACTTACGGCCATAGAGAACTAGGGAGATTTTGAGTGAATGGTAAGCCATGCAGAGCATCTAGGTTATGCGTTCAATGCTTCCTGTCATTCTTAGACCAGAGGTAACAGGACTTCCAGAATTCTGATGAGAGAGAGAGGTTGACTTGAAGATAGAGGAAAAAAAGGCATGAGAGGAAAAGCAGAGTCAGAGAAAGAAAAGAAAGATGAAGAAGAGTCTGTAGAGCGAGGGGGACAATGAAGGAAAGTAAAGAAAAAAAAAAGGGAGAGACTCGGAGATAGAGATCTTGAAGCGTGAAACAGTTGGTGTGGTTGACACCTGCTATCCCTCTGTCGCTGCCGGTCCATCACAAGTAAGAGGAACTACTGGCATGGGTGAAGGACAGAGGAATAAGAGCTACAACTATCCTCTTGATTTGAGCTAATCTTCAACAATTAAGTGTATTATGTATGTTTTGAACAAGAACAGAAACATTTAAGATTGGTTCTTTATTTTGATTTCTACAGTATGCAACTTGTTTCTTCAATCTGGAGAACCCCTAAGGCCTTAAACACCATAAGCATATGACTTTGGTTGATCATAGCTGCACATTGCACAAATAGAAGCATGGCAATTAAGATCCTATATTATTAGCGAAAGAGATAACCTAAATAACAATTATCCAAGATAAGCCTTCATTAACATATGCAAGATTTCTATGCCAGAGCGAATGTGTGTCTAAGTAAATAAAATTGTATGAACTGACCTTTAAATATAAATCCACATTTCGCTCCTTAATTCTATCAAGCAATGCTAGCCTCTTTGGCTGGAGGAACTCCTTCCGGTCCGCCACCAATGGTGGTAGATCATCCCTCTTTGCCTTCAAAGAAAGGATCC